CAAGGAAACAAGCAGCCTCCAGAAGCTGCAAAAGGCAAGGTAATAGATTCTCCACTAGAGCAACGGTTTCCAACCCCCAGGCCACATTCTGTGGCCTCTTAGGAACCAGGCTGCACAGCAGGAGGTGAACGGAGCAAGCTAAGCTTCATCTGTATTTGCTGCGGCTCTCCAGCACTAGCATCACTGCCTCAGCTCCACCTCAGATCATTATGCACTAGGTTCTCATAGGAACGCCGGTCCCTGGTGCCAAAAAGGTGGGGGACCACTGCCCTAGAGTCAGGCCACATTCTGTAGCCTCTTAGGAACCGGGCTGCAGAGCAGGAGGTGAACGGAGCAAGCTAAGCTTCATCTGTATTTGCTGCGGCTCTCCAGCACTAGCATCACTGCCTCAGCTCCACCTCAGATCATTATGCACTAGGTTCTCATAGGAACGCCGGTCCCTGGTGCCAAAAAGGTGGGGGACCACTGCCCTAGAGTCTCCAGAAGGAATGAAGCTCTGCTAATACTTTGATTTTAGCCAAGTGAAAATGACTTCAGACTTCTGACTTCCAGAGCTATAAGGTAGTAAATTTGTGTTAAGTCACTATATGTGCGGTAATTTGTTACAGTAGCAGCAGGAAACTAATACACATATTAACTGCCCTGGATTTAATAAGTAACCAATACTAAGATTTAGGAAACTGCTGATTTTGAGGCTGGTCCTAGAGTTCCTCACAATTTAATGCTTTAGAACAAATGGTAAAGAGGTCTTGGGAAAGCTGTACTATGTAATGAGAGAATGGATTTTGAAGCACACAGACCCTACTTTTCCTTTCTCACCTTTGTGACCCAGGGTCACAGAGGGCAAGCACAACCTCTATGAGTCTTGTTTCCTCACAGGGTTGCTGTGGGATTAGAAGAGAAAATGCAAGAGCAGTGGAATGAGTTCTACTACATGAAGTTTGAATTCCTATTCATCTCATAGTGCTTCAGGTTCCTCATCTATAAAATGAGGATAATGGGAGTGACTATCACATTAAGAATAGCGAAGATTAAATGAATTAAATATGTAAAATGTCTAGAACTGTGCTTGACACTTAGTAAGTGCTGCTCTTATTAAAGAGAAACGGCTCCTGAAATGTATCAAGTGCCCAATGAATGAACTGGCAGACTTGCCATGAACCTTTTCAGTACCATCCTCTATGCTTTACATACCTGTACTGGGTGTTATGGGGTCTCACTAAGAGTCGGTCTCTGCTGTCATTGACCTGATGGTATAATTCAGAAGTCATAGGAAAGCATCTGTCCAGGTAAGGTGGTATAGGACTGTTAAAGGAGCATCACTGATCATGAACTTTGTGTGACTTCGGCAAGGGAAGATAGAGGAGTCATGCAGAAGGGACAGGACTCCTGTCTGACTGACAGGCAGAAGGAAGGGGAACTGTGTGTGGGCAGGGAGAAGTGTGGGCCGATAGCAAGGTACTAGCAGGGATGGGAGAACTGCAGCTGGAGTAGGGCAGGGACAGATTGCAGGGGGATGAAGGCCTAACTAAGCCATTGGGCTTTATTATATGACAATGGAGAGTCACTGAAAAGAATCATAGCAGAAGACTGTGATGATCAAGATGTCTTAGACTGACTTGTGGCATATATAAAGGTTCTCAGTCACGGTGCTGTAACATACCAGTGTGATATGGTCCCTTGTGGGGTGTATATAATTCGTAATATATATCCAGCATCAAAGTTGATGGTGCTGATGTTGAAGTGTGCATGTATTTAGTAAATTAGAGAAGATTCAGGAGACTAATACAAAAAAATATGCAAGTGTTTCAGAAGCCAACTAAACAAAAACCAACAAGATATTAAAGGTAAATTGATAAAAATAAATATTACATGAATCTTTCAACAAGACGTGAGATAAAAGCAACGAACACAATATTGAGTAAAAGGTAGAACTGAAATAAAGAAGCCCCCCTAAAAACCAAAGCTACAATTAGATTTCTGCTTCATATCTGCCTAATTGTTTCTAAAATAAAATTTTAACATAAATACTAGGATTCCATGCTAGTCCTCACCAGACCTGCAGAATGTATAAATATTGGCTATTTGCCATTCGCTAGGCAAATGCTCTACAAGGGACAAAGAAGGTTGCATTCTTAGCAGGCAAATGATGATTAACCTAAATTATGCTTTTTTTCCCCTGAAAGAAAAGCATAGTGCTTTTTGAGGTCAATGTAGCCCAGAGTTCAAGCAGCAAGGAGTGGAGTTTCTCCCTTCCAATGGGCCAAAGTCGAAGTCCATGGAGTTGCTACCTGTCTTCTTTAAATGAAGCATTTGATGCCCCATCTCCTTTTCTTTCTTTCACATGCGAAAGATTGTAAATGATGTTGAAGGATTACAGACCTCAGCCCTATCCTCTGCTAGATCCAAGCAGCTAGACGGAAAAGACCCAGTGAGTGCACAGCAGGTTTCCTTGTTCCAACAGGATAACCAAGAACCAGAGGGCTAACCAGACAAATGGATGGTCAAGAGCTGGTGTCTTAACTAAGCAGTCTCCTAAGACAATAGCCCATTAGCAAGACACTTAAGTTACTCTCAACTTATTCTATATAACATAAATGATGACTTCCTTTCTTTTATCAAGCGGTTAGTAATAGCTGATTTTGCCTAACAAAACCGATTCCTCAAAAATAGGATTCTAAAAAATAAGATAAGAAAAATAGTCTATTGTTTCCCCTACATTCCTAGAAATGACCAAGGATTCTTAAAACAGACCCTATGAACCAATATTTAATAAATTTTTAACCAATTTAACCAATTTAACCAATATTTAAGAGGACCACCTCCTTTGGAGGATAGACTCACTGGTGGCTTTCACTTTCTATGTTTCTTATTTCTTATTATGTTTTAATGTTTGCCACAATTATTATGTATTGAGTACGACATAAGATATTTTTAAAGGCCCTAATAAAAGTGTAGTCAGAGGCTCATGCGATGAACTTCAAAGAGCTGTTTACTATTAATTTCCTGATCTGAAAATGTACTTAGGTAGGCATATCTTGGAGATATTGTGGGTTTGGTTCCAGACCACCACAATAAAGCAAGTTGTAATCTTTTTTTTGCTGGTGGAGGGTCCTGCCTTCAATTTGTAAAATAAGCAACATCTGTGAAGCACAATATAACAACGTATACCTGTATCTGACTTATCCCAAAGGCTTCTCCCTAGTGGAATAGAAAAGGTTTTCAATTTATTTTCAAAATAAATTCATGTCTTAACAGGTCCGAGGTAGACTGAAAGAAGAATAATGAACTCTTTGGCAATCTGCTGTTTTAAATGAGGAAAAGGGTTGGAGTCGGGGGTGGGTGTGGTGTTGGCAATAGACCAAAAAAAGAACATGTATGTGCTCTAAAAATTGAAAAAGCATCACATGGCAGTGCCATTATTCAGCAGCATGTGTGGCTACTGAAAAGAGGTTGGTGTTTAGCTGACTTTCACTGCTACGCCAATGTTATAACCTATAATGACACAGCAGAAGTATCAATAAGATATGAAGTCATAATTTCAGGGCTTGTAAGGCAGTATTCATGATCCGTTTATGCATTTTGTCAATCCATTAACATTCTATCTAGAACTTACTATGTGCTTACTGGCAACACAAGCTAATAATACAGGGACTTAATACTTTCAACAGTGGAGGCCAATTTGGGCTGATTCCTGGTCTAGGGTTGGTTTGGGTTAGTGGCGCGGCTTAAGGTCATGTATTCATTCTAGTTAAATGTTAAATTATAAATATACTAGAAATCAAGAGACCCAGGTTTTGCTTACTCATTACTATTTGATTCTCTGAGCACTTTACTAAATCATAGCCCCAAGATGGGCTGGGAGAAGACAGGGGGTCTGTCAACCAATCGTGAAAAAGCATGGACAACGTGTGGAAATGGTGGCCCCTTCTCTTAGCATTAAGGTAAGGAAGAGTATGTAAGCTGACATCCTTTTCCCTTCTCAGTCAGATGACCATATAACTTATGGGACACTTTTAAGAGTGAAAAACTGTTTCAGTAAAACTGGGATGTATGTCCCCCTCACCTTTTCGTATTACTTTTTGTGACCTTTGATGTCACTTTTGGCTACATTTGATAGTGTATAGGGAGGAAATTGCAAAATAAGATTTTATCCAAATAATCTAAAATCCTTCTGTGTTTTTTAAAGTCACACAAAAGGATTATTTAACTGAAGTATGATGAATATAATTTTAGATAGGACAGTTTAATAACTAGTTGTGTTTGTATTATTATAATATATGCTTTAGAGTGGGGTCAGCAAGTCCTGTAAAAGGACAAAGTATTTTCGGTTTTGTTGGCCATATGGTCTCTATCACACCACAAGTCCTGCCCTTGTAGGGTAGAAGCAGCCATAGATAATATATAGACGAATTGGGTGTTGCTGTGTTCCAATAAAACTTTATTTACAAGAATTGGCTGTGAGCTAGATTTGGCTTTGGGCTACAGTTGACAACCTCTGCTTTAAAAAAAAATAGTTCTCAGATCTTTGAAATTCATAGGAACAGGAAAATAAAAAGAAGTCTGGAAGTGACTCAAGATTTCTAACTTTTTTTTGTTAAGTAATTATATTTTTAAAAAATGATTGCCTAGTACCTTTATCTCTTAAAATTTTAATTAGTAAAAAAAGTAGAAAAGTATAAATCAGAACAAATTTAGCTGTATAGAAAACCCACGTTGTCCTTATTTAAAAAATTTTCCTTAGCCTGGTGAAAACTATGTCATGAAATATGCTCAAATTACTAGATGATTCATTTGAGTTACTTTTGGAGGTTACTTGGTGTAGAAAGAACATAATATGTAATTCAAAGGTCTGGATTTGAATAAGGTTGGGGGAGTACTAAGAAGGGAGGGATGAGCTGACCTTCAACATTCCTTTAAAGGGACCAAACTACTCAGAGACTACTCTGTCCTTAATCACTGGTGTAAATGCTCCAGTATTGAGTAACCCCAGAACTCACCGGCTGCCACTGTGCAGGGTACCAGGCTGGGGGGCAGTTGAAGCGGTTACAAGCTTGCACAGTGCTGGGCTTGGGCTGGCGACATAGCTCATCAGCCAGGATTACTGTTTCATTCATCTCTCTGGAAAGTAGGTGGGAACAGAAGACGTCTCTGGTTTGCAGGCCAACCCCACAGGTGAGACTGCATAGACTCCACTTGCCAATTTCCCACCTGGGAAGAAATCAGAGATGAAGACATCTGAGCACCTGTGCAGAGAACCACTCCCATGACATCTAGTCTTGCTAATGGAATTGAAAACACCTAACTGGGAATGTCAGAAGTTCCAGCATAAGACTGACTAGGAATTCTATTCCAAGCCTAGAAGCTATCCTCTCCCTTTTGATGGAATATATCAACTTCTTCGAAGTTGAACATATAAGTTGAACATATCAAGGCTCTGGGCACCATGTATTGAATAGTGCACTGGTCTAGAAGTTTCTCTGCTAATCTTTCTAGCCCCCTAACTTAGAAAGACTGAAAAATTTGTGCTTCTTTTTCTTTGGCTTCAAAGTTGGCTCCAGCTTCCTTCAAACTTCTATCTTAGCATAGAAATGTCTCTGTCTTATGTATAAATATCATCACTGCCTGGGACTGGACAATGTAACAAAAGTGACGGTTGCTAAATAGATCAGTCTTACAGAGGGGAAATAAGTGGAGAGAACTGTTCATTATCTGGAAGTGGAAGTCAAATACACACAGATGAGCTGAGTGCATAAATTGGCCATTAGAAATGGCCAAGTCTTGAGAAGTACATTTATAGTGAGCTAAGGGCCTATAAAAACAATCCCACTGCATTTTCCTGTTGATGCAGCCTCCAAAATACGAACGATAAGGAAAAAGCTCAGTTGCGTGGGCACTGAGTCAGACGCATTCTTTAATGATCAGTTAAGAAAGTTCTGTTTACAATGTGAGGCACAAAGAGTCTACAAATAGGAGTTAGCCAATAAAAGCATCACAAGTAGATTCTTCAGTAGCTAGCAGCAACCTCTCCCCCCGCATCCCCTCCCCACTAACCTTCTACAGCTAGCCCTGAAAATTGGTTTAAATTCTCTGGCCTTCATGTTTTTTTATCAGATGGTAAAACTGACTGTATACACTCTCAATCTCTTCCTGCTACTCTGATATCTAGCTACCTTCCCGACCCATATTTCCACTACCTCCTTTCTTTCATTTACCTAATGTTAAAGCCACGTCTGTAGTGAACTACTCAATTCACGCCTCCCTCACTGCCCCCCTGCCCCTGACCCTGCCCTCCCAGTTTTCTAGCTGTCTTTTCTCAAGTGGTTACTCCTAATTTGGAATACTTTTTATCCTTTCCTTGCCTCTCAAAATTTATTCCATTTCTATATATCCAAATTTGATCTAAATTTAAAGGATTGAATCCATACCTGCTCCAGACACTATCGTTTTCTCAACTGCACTACAGTATTCTGCCTGTCAAGGGCTCTGCTAGAGTACACAGTTCTTGAAGGCAAGGTCTTTATCAATTTTGTCTCTCACAAGGTTCATCAAGGCACCTTCTAGAAAGTTAATGTATATGGTTAATAATTTCCTGCTAAATTAGCAAATGGAAGGGATCTACTGTCATAGTGGGTACTTTATACACATTATGTCATTTAATTACATCCAGAACAACATGTGATAGTCTCTACAGATATTCCTCATTTTCCACTTGAGGGAATCTTAGAATCCAAGGGACTGATTTGTCTAAATACCCATAATTAGTAAGTAGTGAATCCAGGATTCAGCCTGGGGTATGTGTGGCTCCAAAGCCTTTGTACTTCTATTGTACCATGCTGTCTCCAGGAAATACCTTGAAAATTGTCCTATAAACATTCACAAAGTTTTAAATGAATAGAAGAGGTGAGGCTGGGTTAAATAATATATTTCTTTTAGATCCTTGTGTGAATTTCTATAAATTTATTTTTAAATCTCGAGTTTGGGTTAATCCCAAGCTTTAAAATGTTGTGGAGTTGTTATTGGTTTTAAAATACAACCATACATCCTTTGCCTTTCCTCCCTTCTAGCGACGGAGTCTTGAATATGGGCTGAACTTAATGTCTCACTTGCAATGAATAGAATGAGGAAGGAGTAATGCTATGTGACTTCCAAGGCTAAACCATAACAAACAAAAAAACCTATTGCTTCCACTTGGCTCTCTTTGCTTTCATGCCACGAGGACACCCAGTCGTAAGGAAAGTCCACATGCAAACCTATTGCTTCCACTTGGCTCTTTCTCTTTGCTTTCATGCCATGAGGACACCCAGTCGTAAGGAAAGTCCACATGCAAAGGAATTGAGGCAGCTCACCAACATTGAGCACCAACTTTACAGTTATGTGAGTGAGCTCCCTTGAAAGAAGATACACTGGACATAGCTGAGCCTTCAGTTGACTGCAACTTCACGGGAGACTGTGAGCTGGAACTGCTTTTCCAAGCTGCACCTAAATTCCTCACTCATTAGACGCTGAGAAGTAATAAATGTTTATTTTTGTCGTGAGCTACTGAGTTTTGGGGAAATTTGTTATGCAACAGATAACTAATACAAGCATATATTTTCCCCACAAAATGTGTATATGTTAATCAAAAGACATATAAAAGAATATTCAAAGCAGCATTATTCATTATAGCCCAGACAGGGAACAACTCAAATGTCCATTAACAGTTGAATGGATTAAAAATTTGTTCATAAAAAAATTATGACATATTCATAAAATACTATAAAATGATGAGAATAAACTACAACGAGCAACATGAATGAGTCTTACAAACAAAATCTATTGAAGAGAGTCATAAATGTGAGATTTCATACTGTTATTTAATTTATATAAAGCTCAAAAACCCAAATTAACCTATGGTGTTAGAAGTCAATATGGTACTTCCCCTTGGTGGTTAGTAACTAGAAGAGTAGTATGTGGTAGGGCTTCTAGGGTGTTATCTTGATCTGGGTGCTTGATCTCAATCCACTTTGTGAAAAATTACCAAGCCACACATGTAGGATTTGTGCACTTTTAATTGAAATACTAAATGTTATGGGTATAAAACAATATTCAACAACTATGCCCAATGCTGATGACTACCCTCTATATATCTCATAAAGGAGCTGCCTACATAGAGAATGCTTCCCCAAGGTTAAAACTTGTCATAGTAGAGGTTTTATCCTTCCACTGCCCCCACCCCTGATCCCACCTCTGGAAGAAATTCAGTTGCTGGCACCTTGAAGCAGGAGGCATTTTGCCAGCCATGAGGCCCCTTCGATGCTACTCGGAAAAGTTCACAAAATAGACATATCTGCCTACCCATGATAAAGATACATTACATTCAGAAGGGAAGCGGACAGCAGTAGCTATCTGTGTATTAATCACTCTGCTGATTCTGGGTTGAAAGTATTTGAATTAACTCAGGCAAAAGAGGGAAAGCAGAGACTCTCCCCCTATTTTTCCCCTGCATAGCGGCTGCAATTGTGATCTTTGGGTCTCCTTGCATATACTGTGCCTTTGATTGTTTACGAGGTAAGAATTGTAGGCCATGGGTAGCCAGCCTGGGTGAGCAAGACTGGCCCTGGGCAGCAGCCTGTGGGACACTTAAAAGACTTCCACGGGACTCTGGGCCTGGCTTCCACATAAGCCCAGGACTGAGGAGGACAGAAGCTCCGGTCCAGGCTTCAGAGGGTGAGGGCATTAGTGCTTCTTCTCCCACTTTACCTGGTTGACTTCTACTCATCTTTTCAACTTTACTGAAAACACTACTTCCTCAGGGAGGAAGCCCTCAAGTGGGCAAAATTGTCCTCTACTTTATGGTTCCATTAATATCGCCACTTTGGAAATTCTCAACACACTTTTTTTTTGCTTTGTTTTGTCTTATTGTGGTAAGAATACAATGCCAGATCAACCCTCTTAACAAAATCTTAAGTGTAAAATATAGTGTTGTTGACTATAGGTACAATATTGTACAGCAGATTAAAACTCATTTATCTTGTAAAACTGAAACTTAATGCCATATGCCGTAATTAGTAATTCGCCATGTGCCCTTCTCCTAAGCCCCTGGCAACCATCATTCCATTCTTTGATTCTATGAATTTGACTACTTTAGATATCTCACGTAAGTGGAATCATGCAGGATTTGTCCTTCTGTGACTGGCTTACCTCACTAAGCATAATGTCCTTAAGGTTTATCTATGTTGTTGCACACTGCAGAATTTACTCTTAAGGTTAATATTCCACTGTGTGTATATACCGCATTTTCTTTATCCATTCGTTTGTCAGTGGGCTTTTAGGCTGTTTCCGCATCTTGGCTACTGTGAATAGTGAATGCTACAGTGAACATGGGAGTGCTCATATAAGTTCCCGACTTCAATTTTTTTTTGGATAAATATAGTGGTTCTATTTTTAATTTTTTGAGGAACCACCACATTTGTTTTCCATAGTGGCCACACCATTTTGCATTCCCACCAACAGTGTGCAAGGGTTCCAATTTCTCCGGATCCTCGCCAATATTTGTGTGTGTGTGTTTTTTTTTTGTTTTTTGTTTTTGATAATAGCCATCCCGACAAGTCTGACATGGTATCTCATTGTGGTTTTGATTTTTATTTCCCTGATGATGAATGATACTGAAAATTTTTCATATACCTGTTACCCATGTGTATGTCTTCCTTGAAGAAATATCTATTCAAGTCTTTAGCCCATTTTTAAATTGGGTTAGTAGCTATTTTTTTCACTACTTAGTTGTAGGAGTTCCTTATATATTTCGGAGATTAACTCCTTCTCAGATATATGGTTTGCTTTTTCATTCTGTTGATTGTTTCCTTTGCTGTAGTCAACATACCTGTAATCTGTTACTTTGATGAGAGCATGAGGCTATGGCTATTTTGGTTTACCACTGTTATGGATTGATATGTGTCCTCTCAAAATATATATGTCAGTGTTCTAACCTCCAGGACTTCAGAATGTGACCTTATTTGGAAGTAGGATCATTGCAGATGTCATTACTTAAGATGAGGTCATACTAGAATAGGGTGGGTCCTTAATCCAAAAAGACTATTGGCTTATATGATGCGACGGAAATGAGAGAAAATGTCATGTATGACAGAGACAGAGACTGCAGTGATGCATGTATAAGCCAAGGAATGTCAAGGATTGCCGCAAACACCAGAAGCTAGAAGAGACAAGGAAGG